GGAAAATACATGCCCCCCCCATGGCCTCGGGCCCGCCCCCGAACCACCGATCGGGAGGAGGAGAGGTGGACGAGGGCACAGCATCGGGCTTGAGCAGCCTCTCGGCGAGGAGACGAAGGGAAGTGTCTCTGCTGGCTCTGGCCAGAGCCTCCGGAGAGAGGGCGCCCCCTCGTCTGCAGCCACGTCCTGGTGGGCTCCACAGCCGGCGTGTATGCGCAGCGAGGTGCCAGGAGACTCGTGGCATAGCTGGCAGAGGTGCACGTCGGAGGCGCGCAGCGGCTTGGCGCGCCCGCGGCCGCCGTCCGCCGCAGAACACGGAACGAAGATGACCGTTCTCGTCAGCACGTATGCATTTCGAGCTCAAAAGGCTGCGGAAGGGCTGAAGGTTGCATCCTTGCTGCAACTCGGGGATGCTCTCTCTCTCTCTCTCTGGCGGCGACGTCGTTCCAGAGCCATTGCTCAACAACGAGCGTCGGCCATGCAGCAACCATCTTGGGGCCAACCTGCGAGGCATCAATGGGGCCCACGCGAAGAAAACCGAGCATGGGCCGCGAGAAGCCTTGGAGGTCCACGCCAAGTGTGAGAGCCGTAGCAGCACGCGCAGCAACAAAAACCCACGGATGCTAGCTCAAGGGTTGCCGCGGCCACGAAGCCTAGAAACCGCATCGCTCAACCCTTGCTTGAGCGTCCTGCGCGGGAGCCACTGCTCCCAAACGGCGGTGGCAAGCGCAACGAGAGACTCGATATGTGTGGCGCGCGCTGGGTCGACTCTAGGCCGCTCAGACAACATTGAAGGGGCCCTGGGACACACAAATACATACACACAAATAAACATATGTCACATATTTTCCCATATTTTCTGGGTTTCTGTCTTCCCCCCCACTTCCCATATTTTCCCATATTTTCCTGGGAATCGACGGTTAATTGTGTCTGTGTGTTTTAGCCCCTCCTGAAGCATGAACATGAGCGTGATGGATTTGCCATCGAGACGCTGCGGCTGCAGATGGGCCCGCATCGTGCGCGCGCACGCCCGAGGTCGCCGCCGGACGCGCCAAGGACCTCCCAGCCCGTGTTTGCCGGAGGGAGGGGCCGCACTTTGCACCACGGTGTGCGGCTGCCCAGACTTGACCAGTTCAGAAAACAGGAGGAGCCTCCTCGCACGCAGTTTGTGCGGGCGGCTCGCGACTCTGTCCGCTCTGCTGCCGCCGAACAGCTCGACCCCTGGCAGAAGCAATACCTATATATATATATATATATATATATATATATATATTGCGCTCCGTGGAAGCACCTTTGACTCCAGACCTCCTCGGACGGTGCTCGAGGGCGGAGCGCAAAGAGACAGAGGAGGCGGCAGCAGTACGTGGCTTTGTGTTTGAGCGCAACGGGCACGCAGAGCTTTTCGAGCTCTGACTGCGAAGGACAAGCGGCTGCGACCAGCTCGCTGGCCAGGTCAGCCTCTCCGCCGAGCCACTGCAGGCCGAACTTATCGGCAACAGTGCCAGGGTGCACACTGACAGAGGCTTGCTGGACCGCGTCCAGTGGAGCAAATAAGATGAGCTGAAGCATGAGCGTGGCGAAATGACACCCTGGGAACACTGTTTGTCGCGTCTTTATCGGGGACGAAGCAGCATCATTGAGCGAAAGGGCGCGCGGTGAGCGATACAGCTCGAGGGGAAGCCTAAGTAGGCGAATCGGAAATCCTGCACGCACGGCAGAGCTGACTAAAACATCGCGCTGAATGTGCTCGAGCGCCTTGGACAAGTCGAGCAGCGCAAACTCACTAGAGAAACCTTTTGCAGGGCCCCATTCGGCGGCGCCGGCCTGGAGCCATACCGGCCTGTCGCTTGATTTGCTCGGTGTGGGCCACCAAAAAGGAGCGTGCATACTGCTGCTGCTGCTGCTGCTGCTGCTGCTGCTGCCACTGCGCTACGAGGGGGCGTCTGAGCCTGCCCTGGAGGCGTGGCAAGATGTGAATGAGCGCTGTGGGCCTATAGCCTCCTTCGCGCTTCGGGAGAAAGAGTAAATTGGACCAAATGCGCAGCCAAGCGCCGGTCTTCTCAACTTGCACGATGATATCTCTGAGCCTATCCAGCGCAGGATCTGAGAGGCCAGGCAGCTGCCTAAGACACACCTGATCGAAGCCACAACCGCTGCGCGTGGGAGAGCTGCGGATGCACCGCTTGAAAGCTTCGAGCGTCGGACGCCCGAAGGCAGGCCCAAGATTCGATGGACACGCAGTGTGGCCTGAGGCGTGTCCAACCTTCCACCAGTCCGACCACTCACGCTCAAGCACATCCACCTCCTCCTGAATAGTGCATGGCGTGCCTCCAGCTGACAAGCAGCTGGCATACCAAGGTGCGGCTGGCTTTACAACGAGCGGAGAGGGCTGCAACACCGCCCGTACCATGTTGACGTACCCAGTCTCGCCAGCCCGCCTGCTTGCCTCTTCCAGCGTCACGGCGGGCGGGGAGCGCGCGTGCCTTCAAAGCCTGAGCAGCTGCAGAGGTCAAGGCATAGGGGAGCGACAAAGCGAGATGCAGCAGCAGTGTCCACAGCTCAGCTTCACGCTTCACAACGCCACTACCATCGAACGGAGCTTGGATACTGCGGCCCAGCCGCAGGGTGCCAGCCCTTACAGTGGGTGGCTGCGACTTGGCCAAGCCGTCAAAGCAGCGCGCGAGCACCCGCGACCAGAGTGTAGCTGGACTGATCACAGGAAACGCAGGTGCCTGCGGAACAGGAGCCGCACGACCGGCTAACTGAAGAGGCTGCGCGCGGTCAACAACATCTGGGCAAGTGCCTGCGTGTAGATCGTGCAGGTTAGCAAGATCGAGTCGGCATCTCTCCTCCTCCTCCTACAACTCCTCCTCCTCCTCCTCCTCCTCCTCCTCGTCGTCCTCCTCCTCCTCCTCCTCCTCCTCGTCCTCCTCCTCCTCCTCCTCCTCCGCCTCCTTCTCCTTCTCCTTCTCCTTCTCCGCCTCCTACTCCTCCTCCGCCTCCGCCTCCGCCTCCTCCTCCTCCTCCTCTCCTCCCTCCTCCTCCTCCTCTCCTCCCTCCTTCCTCCGCCTCTTCCTCCGCCTCCGCCTCCTCCTCCTCCGCCCTCCTCCTCCTCGCCTCTCTCCTCCTCCTCATCGCCTCCGCCTCCTCCTCCTCCTCCTCCTCCGAGGAGGAGGAGGAGGAGGAGGAGGAGGGGGCCCCGAGACATGGGGTCCTGATGGGCGGGAGGCGGCCCTGAGCGGTGCAGATGCGGCCCGGAAGCCTTCTCATATCCTCACGGCCCCATCCCTCCGGGCCCCATCTTCGACTCCCCCCCCCCCGGGAAAAGAGCTGGCATCGACATCGACATCGAATCGCACCCAGACCCTTCGCTAAGTCACCAGGGAGCAATGATGGGGGTCCGATCGAAATGGACGCACCAAATAGGATGACTCACGGCGGTTGCGGTCCACCCACCACTCGCACCCCTCCGTTGACGAATGATCGGGGGCGTCCAAGAGGGGGCCGTCCAAGAGGCGGGCTCGCAAATCACTGCCAGGGGCACCTGCGCGGACGAGGGGGGGGCCGTGCACTCCTGGGAGATGAAGTGCCCCCAGCCACCGCGCTGCCAGGGCCGGGCCCCGTCGAGGGGGAGGAGGAGGAGGAGGAGGAGGAGGAGGAGGAGGAGGAGGAGAGGGCGGAGGAAGGAAGGAGAGGAGGAGGAGGAGGAGGAGGAGGCGAAGGAGGGGACGGAGAAGGAGAAGGAGGAGGAGGAGGAGGAGTAGGTTGAGGGAGGCGGAGGAGGCGGAAGAGGAGGAGGAGGAGGAGGAGGAGGAGGAGGAGGAGGAAGAGGAGGAGGAGTGATACCCGCCGCCTCCCCCTAATCATCACCTCCCTCGATCGACGCCTGCTGGCTTTCGGGCCATCCCCGGGCCGCCAGCAGCCGTTCGGGCAGAACCCGGCACGCCTGAACTTCTGTTGCCTCCTCGGGGGACCTTGTCTGTCCCATCGCGGCCCCATCCGCGTCGAATCCGTGTCGAATCCATGCCGGCCTCGTCGGATCCGTGGCGAGTCTGGTCGAATCCGCGTCGGAAGCACGCCAAAAATCGGCGTCGAGGCCGCATCGAGCCCGCGTCGGGCACAAAAGAGGACACCAATTTTTGGGGGACAGGCGAGGTGCCCCGGAGGTGCAACGAAACCGCACGCCTCTCGACGAGGCGCGACCGCTGGATGCCATCACCCCCCTCTGGGACACCCCCGACATGCCTACACTGCCCCAGGTCGACTCGCTTCGCGCATCCCGCCCCGCGGTGCGCGCGGCCCGCGCTTGGCCTCGCGCCCTCGAGGCCTGGCGCCCTCGCGCCGCCCCTCGCGGGAGGAGGGCAGCCACTGTGACCAAGCCCGCGCCGCGCGAAACGCGATCATCTTCGCGCCCTTGGGGGCTACCGCGAGAGACCGGGTCAGCCCTTGATAACCAAGGGGTGCTTCGAGGAGCACAAGGTGGGGGGGGAGGAGGGGGGAGGAGGGGGGAGGAGGAGGAGGAGGAGGAGGAGGAGGAGGAGGAGAGGAGGAGGAGGCGGAAGGAGGAAGGAGGAGGAGGAAGGAGGAGGAGTGGAAGGAGTGGAAGGGTGGAGAAGAAGGAGGAGGAGGATGGGAGGAGGAGGAGGAGGAGGAGGAGGGGAGGAGGAGGAGGAGGAGGGAAAAGTGGGGGGAGGAGGAGGAGGAGAGGGAGAAGGAGGAGGAAGGAGGAGGAGGAGTAGGAGGAAGAAAGAGGAAGGAAGGAGGAAAGGAGGAGGAGAGGAGGAGGAGGTCAGCCCTTGAGAACCAAGGGTGCTTCGATTAGCACGAGGCGTCCATGCCGGAGCGGCTCCTCGGAGCCCTCGCCCGCGACGACCACGTTCTCCAGGCACAGGTCGCGGTGGGCCACGTCCTGGCGGAGCTGCCCCTGCTCTCCTCCTACTCCTCCTTTTCACACTCCTAACTTTCCTGCTGCTCTTCCTCCTACACATCCTCCTCCTCCACCTCCTCTCCTCCCTCCCGTCCCTCCCTCCCGCCCTCGCTCACCGCCCTCCTCCCTCCCTCCCTCCCTCCCTCCTGCCTCCCTTCTGCATCCCTCCCTCCCTCCCCTCCCTCCCTCACCTCCTCCTGCCTTCCTGCCTACTGCCTCCTGCCTCCTGCTCCTGCCTCCTGCTCCTGCCTCCTGCCTCCTTCACTCCTCCCTCCCCTCCTCCTCCTCCTCCTCCTCTCCTCCTCTCACTCCTCCTCCTCCTCCTCCTCCTCTCCTCCTCCTCCCTCACCCCTGCTGCGCGCCCGATGGCATCGATGTCGGTGATGACGCTGCCTCCTCCCTCCTGCGTACCTCCTCATCCTCCGTCTCCTCCTCCTCATCCTCCTCCTCCTCTCCTCCTCCTCCTGCGTCCTCCTCCTCCTCCTCCTCCTCCTCCTCCTTCTCCTCCTCCTCCTCCTCCTGCGTCATCCTTCTCCTCCATCATCCTCTTGCATCCTTTTCCGCTATAAGTCATTCCTTCATGTCGCACCCCCAAGCGTGCCAGTAGGGCGGGCTGGGCGTTTCGCCTGAGACCTCTTCGCAATGCCTGATCCTGATGCGGAGGGCGGGTCGTTTTCAAAATGTGGCTCTCGCCTTCCTGCCGCGAACGTTCGTCTCAAAACTTGCAATCGTTTCACGGACGCAGGGCGGGTGGTGTTCGGAGTACCGCGCACGCTCGTCTTAAAAGTTCGCAGGAGTCTTACGGATGGAGGGCAGGTGGTTTTCAGAATGTGGCTCTCGCCTTAGCGCCGCGCACATTCGTTTTAAAGTTTGCACGAATTTCAAGAATTGAGGTCGGCATCTGTTGAAAATATGGATCTCACCTTGAAACTGCGCGCGCTCGCCTTAAGACTTTACAACTGTTTCAAGGATTCTTAGTGTTCACGTCCCAAATATGGTGTTTTGGCACGGTGTAGGGCTGTCAGGACGCAACAATTGCGCTGATTCGCGATGTTGAAGCCCAAGCAATGGCTTTCTGGCACGATTCCGGATTTCCATGACGCATTAGTGACGTTCATTCGCGACGTTGAAGTTCAAAGAATGGTGTTCTGGTACGGTGCAGCATCGGTTCAGGATTTTCAAACGACTATCTTCCAACGGGGCACCTCCCTCAGTGAAAACGGTCCGTGTAGGGACCTGTCAAGAGGGATTATTGCAACATCGTTGCTGGAACTTGGGTCTGCACTGCACTGGTCCTCCTCCTCCGTCCCAGCACAGGCCGAAGGTCGGATGACCTTTCTGCTGCCTCCTCGGGGGACCTTGTCTGTCCTGTCGCGGCCCCATTCGCGTCGGATTCGTGTCGAATCCGTGTCGGCCTCGTCGGATCCGTGTCGAATCCGCGTCGAATCCGCGTCGAATCCACGCCAAATCCGCGTCGAGTCCGCATCGAGCCCTCGTCGGGTACAACGAAAGACACCAATTTGAGGGAAAGGTGAGGTGCCCCGAAGATGCAACGTAATGACCTGTGGCGGCGCCTCTGTCGAACGAGGCGCGGGCCGCGCTCGCCCGAGCCCAGCTCCCCCAAAACTCCGCGCCCTCGCGCCCCGCGACGCGCGATTCTCTTCGCGCCCTCGCGCCGCCCCCCGCGGAGAGGGGCAGCCGCTCCGGTCCAGACAGGCGGCGCGCGAAGCGCCGCTCGCCTCGCGCCCCCAAGAGGGCGACCCGGAAAGCCCTGCCACGGGCCAAGCCACCACTGGTCTGCGTGCGGCGGCGAGGAGGAGGAGGAGGAGAAGGAGGCGGAGGAGGCGGAAGAGGAGGGGGAGGAGGAGGAGGAGGAGGAGGAGGAGGAGGAGGTGGAGGAGGAGGAGGTGGAGAAGAGGAGGAGGAGGATGAGGAGGGGAGAGGAAGAGGAGGATGCGGAGGGGGAAGGCGGAAGAGGAGAGAGGAGGAGTGTAGGGGGAGGAAGGAGGAGGAGGAGGAGGAGGAGGAGGAGGAGGAGGGGGAGGAGGAAGAGGAGGAGGAGGAGGGGGAGAGGAGGAAGCGAGGGGGAGGAGGATAGTAAGGAGAGGAGGAGGAGGAGGGGGGGAGGAAGGAGGAGGAGGAGGGGAGGGGAGGAGGGAGGAGGGAGAGAGGAGAGGAGGAGGAGGAGGAGGGGGAGGAGGAGGAGGTGGAGGAGGAGGTGTGGATGAGGAGGAGGAGATGGCGGAGGGGGCGGGACAAGCTAGGTGAGCTCGCGTCATATCTGACATCCTACCCCTCCCTCCCATCCCTTACCATGGCGTAGATCCCTCTCTACTCGCACAGTCGGATGTCGAGCAGGGCAATGATCCCGAAAGGGTACGCGATGCAGTGTAGAGCACGGCATGGCATGGCGTAGAAGAGCACCGCAAAGCGTAGTATGTCACAGCATGGCGTGGCGTGGCGTAGTGAAGAATTGCATCGCAAAGCTTTGCAACGCAAAGCATGGCATCGCACAGCGGCCCCGAACATAACATTGCATAGCATGGCGTTGAAGATCAAAGCGTAGCATGGTATAGCACGACGTGGCACTTAAGCACTGCATATCACAGCTTCAGCTGAAGGCATGGCATCGCGCAGCGGAACGCAACCTAGCATTGCATTGCATGCCGTGGCATGGCACGGGAAATGATGCCAGCGCTGAAGCGGGAGCACGATTCGGAACGAGCGGAAGCGCGGAAATGAGGCCAGCGCTGCAGCGGGAGCACGATTCGGAACGAGCGGAAGCACGGAAATGAGGCCAGCGCTGCAGCGGGAGCACGATTCGGAACGAGCGGAAGCACAGAAATGAGGCCGGCGCCTCAGCGAGAGCAGCATGTTGAAAAAAAATGCAGGCGAAAACCCAACTCCGGGGAATCATGTGTAAAAAAACAGTACGCGGGGGGAGGGGGGGGCGAACACTCCCAACCCGTCATCAGGGGAAGGAGGAGAGTAGTATTCATATTGAGTAATTGTAGAGGAGGAGGGGGAGGAGGAAGAGGAGGAGGCGGAGGGGGAGGAGGAAGAGGAGGAGGAGGAGGACGACGCAGGAGGAGGAGGAGGAGGAAGAGGAGGAAGCAGCCACCGCGTCCAGGTCGTGCAGCCACCGCACCGCCGCGCAGAGCTGGGCGGCGACGGGCCGCACCGCTGCCTCGCGGGCCGGGCCCGGCGGCGCGAGCTCCCGGGCCGCCCACGTGAAGAGGTCGCCGCGGCACGCCAGCCTGAGGCGGGCCGAGACGGAGCGCACACCCCGACTGCGCTGGCCCCTCGGGGTGGCGGCGCTCGCGGTGGGGCGGTCGTGGCCCTGAGGGGCCTTCAACGGCATGGGCAGTCCAGTGGCAGTCTCCTCCTCCGCCGCCTCCACCCTCCTCCCCTCCCCCTCGCCTCCTCTCCTCCTCCTCCTCACCCTCCTCCTCCTCTCCTCCTAATCCTCCTCCTCCTCCTCCTCCTCCTCCTCCTCCTCCTCCTCCTCCTCCTCCTCCTCCTCCTCCTCCTCCTCCTCCTCCTCCTCCTCCCTCCTCGCTTCCTCGCTCCCGCCCTCCTCGCTCCCCAAGTGCCCTCCCTCCCTCCGACGACATCGACGTCCGAGGGGCGCCGGAGGCGGGCGGGCATCCGACGCCTTGACTTTTGCAGTGCGGGGTCCCCGGAAGCCCCGCCGCCCTCTCTCTGACGACGGCGACGACGACCACCACCATCACACGACCACGACAACGAGCACAGGCACGACGACGACGACGACGACGACGACGACGACGACGACGACGACGACGACGACGACGACGACGACTACGACTACGACAGCGACGACGCCGGCGACGACGACGACGACGACGACAATGACGACGACGACGACGACGACGACGGCGACGACGACGACGACGACGACGACGACGACGGCGGCGACGACGACGACGACGACGGCGACGACGACGGCGACGACGACGACGACAGCGACGACGACGACGAAAACGACGACGACGACGACGAAAACGACGACGGCCCGTGCCAAAGCTGGTACAGTCAACCCGCAGAGTAAGGATGCGCGATAAGGATTCAAGACCTTGGAAGCCCATTTCGAAGCTCTTCGAGCGGGGCGCGGCCAACGAAAGTGTCCAAGGATGGACTCAGGAAGCAAGGATGCAAGGGTACCGTTGGGAGGGATGCCTATCCTTACCATGCGGGTCGACTGTACCCCCCGTCCAGGGGAGGTACAAGAGAAGGAGGAGAAGGAGGAGGAGGAGGAGGAGGAGGAACAGGAGGAGGAGGAGGAGGAGGAGGAGGAGGAGGAGGAGGAGGGGGACGGGGGGGGAGGAGGAGGAGAGGAGGGAGGAGGTGGAGGAGGAGGAGAGGAGGCGGTAGGAGGAGGAGGAGGAGGAGGAGGAGGAGGAGCGGGAGGAGGAGGAGGAGGAGGAGGAGGAGGAGGAGGAGGACGACGAGGAGCAGGAGGGACGCCTATCCTCACTCTGCGGGTCGACTGCATTTCGTCTCGAGCCGTTCTCGGACGGCTCCTGGGGCCAGGCGGGGGGCCCCCCGGCGGCCGAGGGCGCCGCTAGCGAGGGCGCGCGGCAGGGATGCAGGGGCCCCAGAAGGCCATACCGTTGCGGCGTTGGCCTAAGGAGCGAGAGTTAAGGAACGGAGCCCCTTTTTCCCATGGGCTTAGCTTCGATCCCCCATCGAGGGCCAAAGGAAAACCTATAGGGTAGACTGTACAGCAACGGAGGAGCACGGAGCCCCTCCCAAACGAAAGGGTTCCTTCCTCAGCGCCCCGACTGTATTGACACTTTGCGAGCGGGGCGCGGTCAGCAAAAGCGGCCAGGGAGGGGCGGAAAGGGGAGGGTGCGGGGGTGGCCTTGGAGAGCCGCTCATCCTTAGCCTGCGGGTTGGCTTGGGCAGGGACCGACCGTCCTGGCATTCCTATTATAGGCCTACCACCACATGTTCCTAAAACCCACAAAATGCTCAAGAGCAAGACAAAACCGGTGTTAAAGCAAGACAGCCGTGCAAACCACGAAAGGTTCTGAGAACATTTCCTGGTGGGCCTGTAGGCATTCTCAAACAAATCCTCCGCCGCGATACTTTTTCGCGGCGGGGTGGGGTCTGGGACTGGCGCCCCCCTTCGACGCGGGAGGCCGGGGGGTCGAGGCTTGCGCGCTCGCCTCAAGCTTGCGCCCCGGGTCTGCGCAGCTCGCGCCGCAAGCTGCTCAGACCTGGGGCGCCGGCGGCTCTCGAACGGCCCCCGCGGCGGCGCCACCGGGCCATGAGCCGAGCTCTGCCGGCCAGGCGAGCGCGCCAAAGGTTCGTTCGGTCCCCACGCTGCGGGCCTCGGCGGGCTCGCCGGCTCACCGGCCGCCGGGATCCCCTCGTCCGAGGCGCCTGCACCGGATGCACCGGCGCGCGCGCCGGATGCACCGGCGCGCCCGCCGGCTAGCCTCCTCGACGCGTCGAGGAGGCGAGCCGGCGGGCTGGGGGGCCCCTCGGCGCCATCCCCCTCGCCTCGATCGGCGGTGGCGCCAGGCTGCCCGGGACGGGGTTCTCAAGGGCCCCCCCCCCTTCGACGCCCGGCGAGGCGGCGGCCGCGATCACGGTCGCGGCTGCTCCGGAAGCTCGGACCGAAGCCGGCCTCGCTGTGGCTCAATGGCGTCAGCGCTCCGCCGCGTGGGGGGCTGCCACGACCGCTTTGGCCGCCCGCCGGATGCGACCAGAGCGCTCGGCCCCTGCGTTTCCGGCGACCGATGTGCGGGCCGAACGGGACCGGTGGTGGAACCCGCCCGACCCCGCGACGCTGGCCCGCGACGACCCGACCTGCGACCCGCCCGCGGCCCCGCCGGCTGCCCCTGACTGGACGGGCGCCGCCTCGGACTGGGAGGTCCCCGTTGTCCCCCCTCCCCATCTTTGGGCCCCCCCCTCCCTGGATGCTTTCTGCGCCACCCTCGGCTCCGCGAAGGGTGGGACGGCTGGGAGAGCACGGAGCTCAAGGGCATGGCCACCCACATGCCCTGGCTGATCTCCGAGCTGCACGGTATCCTCTCGGAGGCCATAGCGGACGACCAGGACTGGCCTGCGGAGCGCGCCTGGCTGATTCCGCCTCTGTTAAGGTGGCGGGTATCCCGAAGCGCGGCTCCGACGACTCGCGGCCGGTGGCCGTGGCGCTGGTCTGGCTCTGGGCCTGGCACTCGGCCCTCCTCCATAACCTCCCTCTGCCCCCCCCCCCCCCAAGGCCTTCGGCGAGCGGGGCGCCGTCGCGTCCGCGGCGGACTGAGCGGCCGCCGCTCCGGGCCGCGCCGGGGCCGAGGTCGATCTCACTAAGGCTTGCGATTCGATCTCGCACTCGGTGGCGGCTGAGGCTCTGGTCCACTTAGGGACGCCTCCGCCAGTCGTCCGGTGGCTCAGGCACACGTGGGCCGCCCCTCGCGTCTGCTGCGTCGCCAAGGCCACGGCCCCGGCCATCCACACCACCACGACCGGCATCCCTGCCAGGTGCCCCTGCTCGGGTCGGGTCCTGGGGGCCGTTTTGATTCCCGGGCATTTCGCCATGCGTATACACTCGCGGAGGTCCGGCCCTGGTCCTACGTCGACGACCGGAATTTGAAGAGCTCCGACGTGGAGGCCCCCGCTCCTGGGCCCTCGGGGTGACGGCCACGCTCGACGGCCGCCTCCGGCTGGAAAACGCCGGCAAGCGGCAGCTCTGAGAAGGCGACGCGGACACGGAACACCTGGGCATCCGGGCCTGCCCCGGACGCCATCTGGTGTCCCCCCCAGTCCCGGGACCCCGCGACGGTTGGGGGATCATCGAGGATGCTACGCGAAAGTTGCTGCTCATCCCTGGCAGCTCTGGCCTCCGTTCCCTGACGGCTGTCATGTCCGCTGCTTCGAAGTACAAGGGGGCAGTCCCCTTTGTGGAGTGTCCCCCCCCTCTCTCTGGTCAAGCTCACCTTCTGGCGTGTCGCTCGCAGCCGGTGTACGTGGTGGGACCAACGTTGGTGGTGGGCCGAGCGCCTCGAGCTCCACCCCATTTTCGGCACCTCTGTCCAGGCCCTCCGCCTGGCCGCTCGCGTTCCCCGTTCGCCCCTCTGGCGCTCGTGCGTAGCTCACCACGCGGACCCGTTCGGCCTCGTCCCCCACCCGGCTTCGCCCGGGCTGCTGCCTGCCTGGGTCCGCGCCGGGCCCGCCCTCGACCCCCGAGCCGCGGCCGCCGTGGCCGAGGTCGTGGCCTCCTCTGCCCTCCCCCAAGAAAAATCTCGACACTAGCTAAACGTCAATGACATCTCCAGAAAAATCACGACGCGAGCTAAATATCAGCACGCTTGAAAATGAGCAAAACGTGGGTTCATAATCAACACGTTTGAGGCGTCTTGAAAAAATCAAGACATCAGATCTCAAGGTAACTTCGACGCCTCCTCTCCCCGGGGGCAGCGCGTCCTCCGGGCCAGCGCGCGCGCCCGGGCTGCTCCAGGAGCGGCCCCAGGCCCCGCGCTGCGACGAGGAGGGCATGGGGGGACATCGACGTCGGGGCCTGGCCGAGGACGAGCTTGGCCTCCTGCGTGTCTGGCGCGGTGGCGCCTCCCTGGCGCGCGGAGCGCGCCGGGGGCGGCGCTGGAGGCGCCGCCAGGGGGGCCCAGCGCCGATCCGAGAAAGCCGCGCGGACCTCCGAGTCTTCATGTTTGTGCCACTTTTTGTTCCCCTGCCCCCCCAGTCCGCCTCCTGACTCGGCTCAGGCGGGCGAGCAGACTGGGACCGACGACGGCTTCGACTGCGACGTCGACGCCGACGACGACCCGCCCCCGCCCCCGCCCCCGGCTGGTGGTGCGGTGGTGGTCGGTGCGCCCTGCACGCTTCAGAGACGAACGCGGGAGTTGTCTCCCTCGCCCCTGTCGCCCGGCCGCTGCTCGCGGCGGAGGGTGGAATCCCTGCTGGAGAGGCCCCAGCGACGGCCTCGCCCTACCTCCTCCCCTCCCTCTCCTCGCCAGACTCGGAGTCGGGCTGGACAGGTTGAGTTGGTTTGACTTTTTGGCTGTCTTTGGGGCTTCCCATGTTTTTTGACTCCGGCTAGGCCTTGCGTGGCTGGATTCTTCCACACCTTTAACTACTTTCTCGCGCTTCGCGCGAGGAAGGCGGGCGTCGTACAGCCTGCTCGCCTTCAACACCTACTATGAGCGGTCCCCGCGGAGATCGCTGGACCCCACCTGGACGAGTACTTATCGAGGGGGAAGGTGATTGACCTTCCGACGGAGCTTGCCCCCCCCCCTTCCTCCTCCTCCTCCCTCCTCCTCCTCCTCCTCCTCCTCCTCCTCCTCCTCCTCCTCCTCCAACTCCTGGCTCTTTCTCCCAAAGTGGGTTGAGGGGGGCGCGACTCGAAGGGGCGCAGTCCTCCCGAGTCGATGGCATGGCGGGCCGTGGCGCTGGATGCAGCGATCTCGGTGGCGGTGAGGACGGCGATCGAGACAATCTTCGACGAGGGAGGCCGGGGCGAGGAGCAGCAGGAGATGGAGCGGGTGAAGCCCACGGGAGGCGCCGAGGGGCAAAGATAGCCCCAAGCCGAGCTCGGCTGCAGTGCTGCTGGCGGGCGAGGACCGCAAGGACGACCAGGACCAGCAGGAGCTGGAGGCGCCACCAGGGTGCTGGTCATCCCCCGAGCCGAGGCGCACAGGGCGGTCGAGGACGGCGCGCTCGAGCCCGACCCGCACAGCTGGCGTGACAGCGTCGTCTGGGGCAAGCGGCAGTTCGGGTTCTGCGCCGCGCGAGCTCCTCCAGCAAGCGCTGGAGGCCAGCCGGCGGGAGAAGACCTTCGAGGCCGAGCGGCAGCCGAAGGTGCCGCAGGTGCGCAGCGGGTCCACCCAGAGGGAGTACGGGCGCCGCTTCGCGGACGGGACCCTGAAGAAGGAGGGAACGGTGAAGAAGCCGAAGCACAAGAAGGCAAAGAAAGAGCGGGCGGAGTTCTTCAGGGAGGGCCCGGCCGCCGCGCCCTGGAGGAAGAGGAGCCGCGGCCGCCGCTGAGCCACAGCCGGGACACGGTGCTGGTGCTCCACCTGGCGGATGGCGACAGCAGCGACCACGAGGACGTGCACCAGGAGGAGGTGGACGGCTTGCGGAGCTGGTACGACCTCTCGAAGGTGCAGCTGGGCGAGCTGGAAGGTTCGGCCGACAGAGAACGGTCGGACGTGCACGACTTCGCGCCGGCCACCCCGGTGTGCTTCGGGAGCCTCGCTGACGGGGACGGCGGGTACGTAGAGCAGTTCGTGACGTCAAAGCTCTGCGGTGTGGTTCTCTCGAACTCGTTCGGGCCGCTGGGCGAGGAGAAGACGCGCAAGGGGAAGGAGGGGCGAAGGGACCGTGGGCCGAATCCCACGGATCCAAAACAGCCAGCGCCTCCAGGTGGTGAGTCGGACGGGTTCATCACCAAGACGCGGGGCAAGAAGCCGAAGGCGGCGAAGACCGCCGAGTGCGCGGAGAGCAAGGCGGTCAACACGGTGAGCAGCAAGGTGCGCCTCACTGTCGGGGTCGTCAAGCCTGCGGAACCGCGCCAGAAAATCATGAAGAAGGAGCCGTCGGAAGCCGGCGGACTGCCAGCAGCAGTGCTTGAGGCCCACCAGACGGCGTGCCAGAGGGCCGCAGTCGCGCAGGAGAGCCGCCTCGCGCCGTGGAGGCTCGCGCGCGACTCGCTGGTGGAGGTCACCGGCGCATGCTCTGGGAGTTTCTGGCCGGCGACCTCGGACAAGGAAATGCAAGGAATGCGATGTGTCGCGTCGTCGCACTTCGAGGCGGACGTGGGCCGCGTGATGCACCTGCCGAGCTCCGATGCGGTGGTCGGCGTCATCAGCCTCAGCAAGGACGGCGTCTGCGAGGGCGCCGCGGGCGAGGTCGACAGCCTCGGGTTCGGCATGGGCGGCACCCCCGCCAACAGGAAGCAACGCAGTGAGGGTGACGACGGCATCTTCGAGGAGAAGCCAGCGGCCCTCGTCTCAGACAGCTACGTGGACGCGGAGATGGACCATGGGCCGAACCCCATGGAGGACATGCAGGAAGGTGGAGTTCAAGAGGAGATCGAGAAGCCGTCCTCACTGTTTGTCGAGTTCGAGGGTGGAGATCCTGAGCAGGACAAGGGGAAATGCCGTTACGACGAGGAATGCCTTCACGGCGCGGAGTGCCGTTACGACGGAGCTCTCCCTAGTCGTCAGGTCCACTCTCGAGGAGTGCATGACTCTGATCGTGGCAAAGGGCGGTGATCGTGAGGGCTTCCTGCACCGGTTGCAGTCGCAGCCTGAGTGCCAGGGCGAGCTCATGGCCCTCCTCGGTGCCTGAGCTGTACGACCAGGTCGTGCCTCTCCAGGTGCAGGAATTTTGAGGGGGAAGGTCGGGGAGGGGGCGGCTTCTGACTGCAGTCCTGGGCCTCCCTCTCCTGGTCCCCGGTTGGCCCCTGGGGGCCGTGCTCCCTGGGGCGCCCGTCGCCCTCCTGGTGGCGGGCTGGTCTTCGGCGCGGTTTCTGCGCCCTGCATTCGGGAGTCGGCCTCTCCTTGACTGCCCTCCGCGCCCGTCGTGGCGCGCGTTTCCAACAGGACTCGAAGTAGTCAGTCTCAGCCTCCTCCTCCTCCTCCTCCTCCTCCTCCTCCTCCTCCTCCTCCGCCTCCGCCTCCGCCTCCTCCTCCGCCTCCGCCTCCGCCTCCTCCTCCGTCTCCGCCTCCGCCCTCCTCCTCCTCCCTCCGCCTCCTCCTCCGTCCTCCCTCCTCCTCCTCCTCCTCCTCCCTCCCCTCCTCCTCTCTCCTTCCTCACCTCTCCTCCCTCCTTCCTCCCACCTCTCCTCCTCCTTCCTCTCTCCTCCTCCTCCTTTCCTCCTCCTCCTCCTATCCTCCTCCTCCTCCTCTCTCCTCTCCTCCTCCTCCTCTCCTCCTCCTCTCCTCCTCTCCTCATCCTCTCCTCTCCCTCCTCCTCCTCCTCTCCTCCTCCTCCTCTTCCTCCTCCTCCTCCTCTCCTCTCCCTCCTCCTCCTCTCCTCTCCTCCTCCTCCTCCTCCTCGGCTCCTCGCTCTCGTCCTCGTCCACGCTCCTCGCTCCACGGCTCCTCGCTCCTCGCTCCCGTCCTCGCTCCTCGCTCCTCGCTCCTCGCTCCTCGCTCCTCGCTTACTCGCTCCTCCTCTCCTCTCCTCTTCCTCCTCCTCCTCCTCTCCTCCTCCTCCTCCTCTCCTCCTCCTCCTCCTCCCTCTCCCCACTTTTTTTTCTCCTCCTCCCCCCCCTCCTCATTCTCCATCTGATCATCTCGGTTTTCGGGTCACGCTCGGCTCTCCGGCGGCCGCTTTGGACGATCCGGGCACTCCCATAATCCTTCCTGACGACACGCAGCCACTGGAAAGCATTCGAAGGCTAGAAAACCGCCGAGAACGGACGAAAACGCCCGAAAACCTCGAACATCGTTGTTCGCGTCGCATGAAGATTCGGGCTCGGGCGATGACGGTGCCACAATTGGGCTCCCGCTGGCCGGGTCGCGACGTAAGTCCACTCGCCGTCGCGAAAGACGCCGAGGAAGTCGCAGACGTACGGGAAGCCCCTGCGGCTGAGCTCCGAGAGCATGGCGATGTCCAGCCAGGGCTGCTCCTCAGGAGAGGTGGGCGGGAGGAGGAAGAGGAAGAGGAAGAGGAGGAGGAAGAGGAAGAGGAAAAGGAAGAGGAGGAGGAGGAGGAGGAGGAGGAGGAGGAGGAGGAGGGGAGGTGAGACGAGGGATGGAGGCGGAGGAGGAAGGAGGGGGAGGAGGAGGAGGAGAGGAGGAGGCGGAGGAAGGAGGCGGAGGAGGAGGAGCAGCAGCAGCAGTAGAGCAGCGCAGGCACGAGCAGCAGCAGAGGGGGGAGCAGCAAGAGGCAAGAGCGGCGAGAGAGGGAGCAGCAGCACGGGGCGCTATGTATAGCAGCGCTAGCTGGAGGATTGCTTCCCTCCGCATAACACCCAAGAGAACCGAGGAGGAGGAGGGAGGAGGAGTGAGGTAGGAGGAGGTGGGAGGAGGGAGGAGGAGGAGGGAGGAGAGAGGATCGGATCGACTCTGCGCGGAGGAAGCGTCAAGCTCGCAGACCCGACGAGAAGGTGGGAAGAAGGAGGAGGGGGAGGAGGCAGGAGGGGAGAAGGAGAGGGAGAGGAGAGGAAAGAACGAGGAGGGGAGCAGAGGAGGAGGAGGAGGAGGAGGACTAGTGAGGCCGGAGGCGGTGAAGAGGAGGAGGAGGAGGAGGAGGAGGAGGAGGAGGAGAAGGATGAGGAGGAGCAGCAGGAGGACGAGCAGGAGGAGGAGCTGGAGCTGGAGGAATCCTCCTCACGAGGGTGGCCCTGCTGAAACTCGCCCAGGCTGCCGAGCACCCACCAATTCGGCATCCTCTTCACGGCCGCCGGCGCCCCGTCCTGGCCCCTGCACATCGCGTCCACGCGGCCGTGGTTGCGGGGCGCCGCCTCCCGTCCCTCCTCTGCTCCCTCTCGGCGGAGGAAGGAGGAGCAGGAGGAGGAGAAGCAGGAGGAGGAAGAGGAGGAGGGAGGACAAGGACCGGGAGGAGGAGGACGAGGAGGAGGAGGAGGAGGAGAAGGAAGAGAATAATTATGAGAAGAAGAAGGAGGACGAGGACGAGGAGGAGGAGAAGGAGGAGGAGGAGGAGGAGAAGGAGGTGGAGGAGGGCGAGGAGGAGGAGGAGCGAGGAGGGAGTGAGGAGGAGAGGAGGAGGAGGAGGATGGGGGAGGTGGAGGAGGAGCCAGAGCAAGGAGGAGGAGGAGGACGAGCAAGGAGGAGGAGCAAGGGAGGAGGAGGGAGGAGGAGGAGGAGGAGGAGGAGATGTAGGAGGAGAAATGGAGGGAGGAAAGGCGAGGAGGATGAGGAGGATGAGGAGGAGGAGAGGTAGAGGAGGGAGGAGGAGGAGAGGAGGAGGAGGAGGAGGGAGGAGGAGGGAGGGATGGAGGGAGGGAGGGCGGGAGAGAGGGAGGGAGGGAGGGAAGGGAGGAGGCAGGGAGAGAGGGAGGCAGGGAGGGAGCGAAGGAGGAGGAGGAGGAGGAGGAGGAGGAGGAGGAGGAGGTCGTACAGCCCAGAGGCGGGCCTCGTCGAAGACGTGGGCGATCGGAGCCCCTGGATGCATTCGCGTTATGCTTCTTTCCCTGGACTGCCCCCTCCTGCCAAAGCCGCCGCCCCGTCACCCCCCGCTGCGGAGAGATGCTCCGGCGAGGTCGGAGGCGAGTCGGGCGGGCCCCAAAGGGGCACTGCAGGCCCCCTTTGGGAGCCAGCAGGGGCCCAACGGGAGCCCAAAGTGCCCCCTTAGGGCCCCTTTGTCACCCCCGTTCAGGTCACTCCAGATTTCACAACAAAAGGGGGGTGGTCTGATTTGGGATGGGGTCAGATTCGAGCTGTCTTGGAGGGTTCCAGTGGGTCTGGGCAAAAAGCCGCCCTTCATGGCTTGTTTGGGGGGGTCTGGAATTGCCCGTCTGTGAGGGTTGTGACCCCCTCCCTTTGATGGCGAAATCTGGAGTACCCCCCATTACCACCTGCCCTGCAGAAAGAGGGATTGGATGGCAACCCGGTCGCGGAGTCTGCCCCTCAACGAACCTCAGCACGTGTGCCAGCGCCAACGTGTGCTTGTCCACCGGATCAGGCAGTGCAGTGCAAGGAGGGCCGAAGCAGGCTGCGTGCCATCCACAAAGCTGCACACATAGAATACGAAATCCGCGCGGAGGGCCAAACGTTTATGTTTATAGCGTTTCTTCGTCTTCTTCTTCTTTTCTTCTTCTTCCTTATTATTATTAATATTACTATTATTATTTTTATTATTAGTATTGTTATTATTATTATTATTATTATTATTATTATTATTATTATCATTATCAGTATTATTATTATCATTATTATTATTATTAGTATTATTATTATCATTATTATTATTAATATGTTTCTTCTTGTTTTTCTTCTTCTTCTTCGAAAAGTTGCACACGCCGGGGCTCACGCGCCTCCCGAGGACCATCGAGCCCACCCGCCCCCCCGGCCGGCCGCCTGCAGGCTCCGGAGGTGCGCGAAGCCGCCCGCCTCCCAGGGCCGCACCCCCGCCGCCAGCTCCCCCGCCGCCCGCTCCAGGTCGGCCCCCGTGACGACCCCGACGGCACCGTCGCCGCCGTGGCGCGGGCGCGCTGCGGGCGGGCACATCGCGGGCACCGTGGGCCGCTGGGGTCCTCCCGTCCTCCCGCCGGCGCGCGCGCCGTCTCTCCGCGCGCCCAAAGTGAGCCTGAGCCAAAATGGCTGCGAGCGTCGCCCGCCGTCCCCCCTTCCCTTGCCCGTCGCCCCCGCCCGCCTTCCCCGCCGCCCCTGCCATCACCTCCAGCATCCATTCCCCCGCCCGCCTGGC